CCTTAAAAATTGTTGTAACATTCAGGAGTGCTGAGATGTTATGGTGTTAAGAAACAGAGAATTGCAGCTGTAAATCATGAATCTAAGGGAATTATAAAGAAGACGAGTTAATTAATTAAATGGAGGGTTGCTGTTAAAAGGAAAAATAAGGATGCAGGAAAAGGGAGGTATGGGGAAGTCCGAGAAATAAGGTGAAGGAAAATGAGTTTATGAAATTATACATGTTTATTTGTTTGTATGTTTTATTCTGTTTTATTGTTTGTTGTTATTACATGTTTGGAAAATTAATAAAAATTATTTTAAAAAATAAATAAATGAAGTGTTGATTTTTCAAACCCTGTAACTACCACTACTACCAGGAGCCAAAGACTTTTATCAGTTATTGCTTATTAATATATGAAATTCAGTTCCCAGTCCCTTGGCCTTCTCCCTGTCTCATAGTTCCATGCTAAAAGCATGCATGCCTTCCTAAGCCTGGGTCCAGTGTGGTGTAGTGGTTAAGAGCAGTAGACTCCTAATCTGGTGAACTGGGTTCGCTTCCCCGTTCCTCCACGTGCAGCTCCTGGGTGACCTTGGGCTAGTCACACTTCTCTGAAGTCTCTCAGCCCCACTCACCTCACAGAGTGTTTGTTGTGGGGGAGGAAGGGAAAGGGGAATGTTAGCTGCTTTGAGACTCCTTCAGGTAGTGATAAAGCAGGATATCAAATCCAAACTCCTCTTCCTCCCCCTCCTCTTCTTCATTGACTTCTCTAATACTATCTCCACTTTCATTTCTTCACCTCTGAAAATCTTTAACTTGGGATGGCACACCTAAGAACTGCCACAGATTGCCTTTTGGTATAACTAAGTGTTGTTGATCTTTGATTTTTTTTACATGTAAATCTGAAAATGTAATGTGTATATGAAACTAGTTTGTTTTTGAAAATGTGTGCATCATGCATCTGATAAAGTATTTCATAATGAGCCTGTGAAAGCTCATTATTAGTACTTAAGATGCCTCAACACTCATTTTTGCTGCAGCAGTCCCTGCCAACTATTTGGATGTTCATTCATCTGAGAGCCAGGAATTGGCTATAGCTCCCCTTCAAGTGCACACTCATTGGCAAATCTCTTTGCTGCTGCATAGTGATGTGGTTTACACAATAAAATCCTGGCTTAATAAGCGAGGGCAAACTTCATATCCATACAGCCCCTTCATGCAAGTAGGGCAACAAAACAAGAAGTCACAGTTAACCATAGTTTTCAGTTACCTGTAAACTGGGAACTGTGGTTAATGGCTTCTTTGTTTTCCTGCTTGCACGAAAATAGCAGTGAAGCAGGAATGAAAGAGCTGCATGTGAATATACAGATTTGTTGATAGCTTCACTAATTAAGCTAGTATTTGGCCCTCTGAACATGGTCAAGGTGCTGAATGGCTGCAAGAACAGCAAAGGAATAGAAAGCTCTGGTGTGTTGCAACACATCTGTCCAGTAGAAGCTTTACTCCATCACCCAGCTCTTCCCATGTGTATAACAAAAGGTAGAAAATACGTACCTTCAGGGGCACAAGCAGCCTGATCTGAAGTTAATTCAATTTGAAATTAAAGGGATTTTCTTAGAAAGTTTGTAAAGCCACAATGCTGCTAAAATCTATCCCATAACTGTAAGTGAAGGTGTTAGCATGCAGGAGCCTCCTGCATTGCTCTGTAGTATAAATAACAACATGATAATTGGCTAAAAAGGCACCTTCTCATAATTCCTTGGCCCTAAGTATTGGCAACAGATCAGCAGCCCCTGAACATTTCTGACTGTTTGATGGAAAGGCAGCTATGCTGAGAGTTGGCAAGAGAATATTTTAGCATTCAAAGGCAAGAAAAGTACGGAAGTGGCAGAATTGTATTAGGAGCGACATTCATACCTCCTAGATTCTTCTGTATTTAATTCTTTCAAAATGCAGATGCCTACAAATTCTTGAGCCTTAGCATTTTCATTGTGCAGATGCACACCCCAAACTAAGATATAGTCAACCAATTTATGAATTTTAGTTGAGTAATCATGACCTTTTGAACTGATTGATTAAATTTAAATGAGCCTCTAACCCAAATCTTTGATGCGGCTGTCTTTTTGAGGCACTGAAGGAAGTGTCAACATAGTTGCAAGTGAATAAAATCTGCCACTTACCCTTTCCTCTAAAGAAGGGTTAGATTTAGCATTTCTTTTTTCATTCTATATTACAGTTACAGTATATCCCCAGCAGCAACATAGTGTAAAATCAACAACAAATTGTGCCATACTGATATAGCCACCTACCTGTCGCTGCCATTTAACCAGTTAACCTACTGGTTAAATTTTGCAGTTCTGAGAATTTCATCACCTTGAATGGGAGGAACTTGGATATTCTCAACTAGCTTCTAATAGTTCTGTTTCCTCCAGAATGTTTTTTCTTAAAGCAAATCTAGACATATGCCCAAAGATGAGAAATTCCATTTGTGCGTTGTCAGTTTGATTTAGGCCTTCTGTCAGACAATGGAGTTTTTTTTATTTAAATCAAATACTAGATCAGTTAAATAAGAAGGTAGCCCAGTGGTTCTGCATTGGTGAGCTGCTTTACTGCTCATGTGATGCTTAGAAACCATCAGAGTTGATGGAGGTGCAAAAGCCCTGAGCGGTGTTCAGCAATGTGCTTCTGTTAGTTCAAGGACATTTGGCCACACAAAGAAATTTTGTCTTCCCTTACACCCCTTAAATCTATTATGGGGGTTCCTCCAACTCTTTGGAACAGGTTTAGGTTGGGCACATGGGGAGAGAAGAGTCTCTGCCAAATCCTTCTGAGAAACATTCTATATTTCTGCCACTGAGCAGAGAAGAACTTTCAGCCAGTGTGTTATAGCTAGAGGGCTCTGTTTCAATGTTTCCGGGAGGTTCAAAGCTCTACTTGGCTGCAAGGTTCACTGAATGAATCACTCCCTCTTGGGTTTGGGCAAATCACTGTCTCTACTTAAGCTACCTCCCAAGTCTGTTGGGAGGCTAAAATGCTCTTCTCATCTTCTTGAGTGGGAGAGCATGGTACAAATGTGATAATTTATCAGAAAATTTATCAGAAATTTTGTTCTACTTTTCTCCTTGCAGAACAAGCCTGGGGAGTTTGCCATCAAGTTGCACATCTTACCATTGGTATTGAGTGAGAGATTAATCAGACCCGCAGTTTTTGTTCCTAAATGCTGAACCACCTAAAGGTAAAATTTCCACTTGCGCTATGAAAAACTGACAATTCAGAATTTGGAGGTGTCTGTTGTCCCTTGTGGATTATGAGAGTTTATTTTCATTATGACAGGTAGGGTCTATTTTACAGAAATATGGTTGCAGCAACTGTTGATGTTGTTTGATTAACTTCTTGACCTTCTGAATTTTGTTTGAAAGTATCTGCTGTATAAGAATTAGGCAGATTCATGGAGAGTAGGTCTATCTGCAGCTTTTAGGCAGTGCTAGGACTTTGGTGGTCTTAAGACAAGACACCCTCAGTGGGTTTCCTTAACTGGTATGAAGCAGGGAACATGAGTTGAATTCTCTCTTTTGCTTCCAACCCACTTGGTTGCACCATGCAAAGTAAAAATAGGACAGAGGGCCCTTTACTGGTCTTGGAATCTCAAGAAAAGCCTGATCTCACTGTCATCTGGAGCCAGCTATGGTTATTAACTATGACAGCTGAGTGCAACTTGCATGTTTGGAAGTGATGCATGCTTGAGTGTTGGATGTTTGGAATAAAAATCACAATGAGAACTAGATCCCTGGTGCTTGTTCACTCTCTGCACTCCCCCCTTTTTTTACAAGTCAGGGTCCCAAACCTGCTTTGAGATCCTGCTTTGATATCAAAACAGTTTGCTGTGTTGAGGCAAAATGGCAAACAGTGGTTTGTCACAAACTGGAAGTGAACCTTGGTCTAACCATGAAAGGCAATTCTTTATCCCGTGTCTTTCTTCAACATGGCTAGTGTAGTTGAACATCTGTCTGCTTCCTAATGAAGACAAAGGATAGATTTGTAGTGTGAAAGAGAGGATAAAAAAAGGGAGTCAATAGAATGAAGTTCATTGGTGAAGAATCTTAAAAGGGCTAATTTAGCTAGGAACAGAACACTCCTTTTCAATATCAACTTCTGTGGAGGCTGACTTCTTCTTGTTGTCATCACTCCTTTGTTTGGAGCTGTGTGATAACTTTCAGGAATGAGCCACTGAAGGGTAAGGAAATGCTGGCTCCTGTGGTTTAGTATTAAGTCATCTTCATGCTTGGGTGGAGAGGACTGGATAGCAGCACACAGATGGTTTTTAGAGGCAGTAGGGAGATAAATAGATGGCCTAGGTCAGCGTTTCCCAACCGGTGTTCCGCGGCACAGTAGTGTGCCGTGGAACTTTGCCTTGTGTTCCGCGTGGAGGCGGCCAAGTCGGGCGGTGAGAGGCGGGGCGGCGGCGGCGAGCACACGCGGGGCTGCGAGCGAGCGAGCTCCCACATCCCATCGCCGCTCGCTACCGGGCCTGCGCATCCGCTCGCTAGTGAGCGGGGAATCCCATCCGCCCCCACGTGAGGGGGAATCCCATCCCAGCCCCCGCGAGAGCAGGGGAATCCCATCCGGCCACGCCTCCTGGCCAGCCAATCGGCTGGCTGGAGGGGGCGTGGCTTACCCTTTTTAGGGCCGGAGGAGAGGGGGCTCGCCCTCTCTTCTCCGGCTAGCCCCATCGCCGCTCGCTATTGCCGCTCGCTACTGGGCCTGCGCCTGCTCGGCAAGCACACGTGGGGCGGCGAGCGAGCGAGCTCCCACGTGCGACGGCACCAAGCAGGGGCCCTTGGCCGTGCCGGTGCCCACCGTGCCCGCCTCCGCCCAGGAGGGCGGCAAGCAGCCACCGCCACCCCCGCCGCTGCCCGGCAACCGCGCCGCCACCCGCGGCTCCCCGCGGCGGGTGATCGTGCAGGCTTCGACGGGCGAGCTGCTCCGCTGCCTGGGGGACTTCGTGTGCCGCCGCTGCTACCACATCGCCGCTCGCTACTGGGCCTGCGCGTGCGCGATCGCGCCTTCGGGATTCCCTTCAGCAGGCATCAAGCAGCCTGCCTCCCTGCTTTTTCTAATTAAGGGAACCTCCACTCTCCTGCCCCTCGGTGTTTCTCACCCCAAAGCCTTGTGGGCAGCAGGAAGTGGGGCTGTCCTGCCTCTACCCCACGCCGGGTGGCTGCTGACACGTCCCTTGGGCAGGAGAGGCATCCGGCTGGATGAAGGCAGCGACGCCGGGGGAACGGAACAGCACGGCAGGTCTGAGTTGGCGCCTGGAAGGACACAGACTGCTTCATGTAGCTGCATTCAACAGCTCCGAGGCTGGCAGGTGAGTGCGTGCACTCCTCTCTCTCATTTTATTTAATGTGCATTTTAGAAGCATGTGGAAATATCCTGCGTCATCAACCACTTTGGGGAAAGTGTGCGTGTGTGTGTTTGGGGCTAGATTTCATGCATGCCTTTTTTTTAAAGTTCTCTTCCTGCTTCATCCACATTCACCCCCCAAAAGGCCATTTTCTGTGTGCTGAATAAATTCTGCAACTCAAACGGCACGAGGTGCCAATGCATCGGGGCTGTGGAATTTATTCTGCTTGCATTTTGATGTTTAAATGTTGTATTTTAATCTTGTTTTTAAGTTATATTTCAATCGACTTATTTTTTATTATTTATTATATTTCAGTCGACTTGTTTTTTAATTTGTTGTTAGCCGCCCTGAGCCCAGTCTTGGCTGGGGAGGGCGGGGTATAAATAAAATTTATTTGGGAAAGATGGTTTAGGTATGTCCAAGCAGCCTTGATAGCAAAAACTGTTTCTCACAAACTTAACAGCGTATACAGCACAGTGGCCTTATTACAGTCTTTTTCAACCGCTGTTAGTGTTTTTCAACCTTTTTAGGTTTTCTGTAAACTGGAGAAGACATCCATGTTGGAAGTTCAATTCCTTGCTTAGCCATGAAGCTAAGTGCCTCGGGGACCTCGTGGCTTCTGCTATTGCGTGTGCTGCCGTCACTCTTCCCGCCATTCCCATGTATAATTCGTGCCCGTAATACAGGCAGTAAGAACTGTTCTGTATAACGACTACCCCGCCTCTCCCACCCCATCTAAGCCCATTTTTTTTCCTTTGCAGAAATGAGCCGCTGAATTGAGCTCACACAGTATGCATGTTTTTGCCTGGCTGTGATTGGTCCGGACTCAAGCCTTGACCTATCACAGTAGGACATCATCTTCCGACTTCCTTCCCGCCCGAGCACAGAGACCAGGACTCAGCAGGAGTCGGCACTGCAGAGAGGCCGGATACTGGAGTGATGGAAAAGTTTTTGAAAAGAAAAGAACTGGACTCTGAACAAAATTTGGAGCCAGATGAGAGGCCAAGTACGAGTGGGCATGAAAAGAAAGCAAAGATGGTTAGCTCAAGCAAATTCTCTGTCACAAGGCAATATAGCGAAAGCTATATTTCATTTGGATTTACTTTCACCGGAGATGCAAACCAACCAACTCCACTGTGCGTGGTGTGTGGTGAAAAGCTAGCTAACAGTGCTATGGTCCCAAGCAAACTTAAACGCCATCTCCAAACGAAACACCCTTCGCTTAAAAACAAGAATGTGGACTATTTTGTTCGCCTGCGTGAAAACACAGAGAAACAGGCAACTCTCCTGAGACAAACCTCAAAGGTAAATGAAAGAGCTCTTAAAGCTAGCTATCACGTTGCTGAACTTATAGCCAAGACAAAAAAGTCGCACACTGTGGCAGAGACATTAATACTTCCCGCCTGCAAAGCTATTGTAGAGGAGATGCTCGGACCTGAAGCAGCTAAGGAAATAGCCAAGGTCCCTCTCTCAAACAACACAATTTCCAGACGTATTGATGACATGTCTGCAGACATTGAAAGTGTGGTTTTGGAAAAGATCCATTGCAGTGAGAAATTTGCATTACAACTGGACGAGTCTACTGATATCAGTGGACATGCTCAACTCTTGGCCAATGTGCGTTTTGTTGATGGTGATGCAATTAGAGAAAACTTCTTTTTCTGCAAGGCATTGCCAGAAAAAGCAACAGGAGAAGAAATTTTTCGGGTCACATCAGAATACCTTGAACAAGGAGGACTTAAGTGGGAAAACTGCATAAGTGTCTGCACCGATGGAGCTGCAGCCATGGTCGGGCACACCAAAGGCTTTGTAAGCAGAGTGAAGGAAAGAAATCCAAATGTTATTGTTACGCATTGTTTTTTGCACCGTGAGACCCTCGTAGCCAAGACTTTACCAGCAGACCTAGTTCATGTGTTGGATGATGTTGTGCGCATGGTAAACTTTGTAAAGTCACGACCCGTGAAAAGTCGCATATTTGCAGCTTTGTGTGAGGAGATGGGAGCGAAGCATAAAACCTTGCTGTTTCATACGGAGGTCCGGTGGTTGTCGCGTGGCAAGGTCTTGGTTCGTGTGTATGAGCTGCGGGAGGAAACTTAAAGTGTTTCTGACAAATGAGAGGACAGATTACGCAAAACTGCTTGCAAGTGATGAGTGGTGTGCAAGGCTGGCATACCTGGCAGATATATTTCATCATCTGAATGAACTGAACACACGAATGCAAGGCCGAAATGAAAACCTGCTTACAAGTACAGATAAAATAAATGGATTCCGTGCAAAGCTGCAACTCTGGCATCAACACGTGGAAAGTGGCAATCTTGAAATGTTCACACTCACCAAGCAATGGCAAGGTGTTCACACTGCTGCACTGTGTGAGATAATAGCTAAACATTTAAAAACTCTCGAGGGGAAGTTGTCATTTTATTTCTCTTCAGTCTCCACTGAATGCCTTGACTGGGTTAGGGACCCTTATAGCTCAGCATCAGTTGGTGGGAAGGACATGACTTTACAGGAGCAGGAGGAACTAACTGAACTGAGACAAAATCGTGGTTTCAAGCTAAGATTTGCTGATCTACCTTTGGACAGTTTTTGGTTGGAAACTGCCAAGGAGTTCCCCCTTCTGGCAAACAAAGCTATTTTGACATTGCTCCCATTTTCCACTACATATCTCTGTGAGTTGAGCTTTTCAAGCATGATTGCTATAAAAACTAAATACAGAGAGAGACTGAGAGCTGTTGACGAAGAGCTACGTGTGTGTCTTTCTTCGATTCCAGCCAGAATATCAGCTTTGTGTTCAGCCAAACAGGCCCAGGTTGCGCACTGAATCAAGTATTTTATAATTTTTCATATTTCTGTTTACTTACCATTTCATAATAAAGTAATTATAAAATACTTTCTTTGTGTTTATTTGATTCCTATTAAAGAGAGTTACTTTATATATAGTCAATATAGGCAAAGAGTTAATTTTTAAAACATTTTCTAATGGTGGTGTGCCTCGAGATTTTTTTCATGAAACAAGTGTGCCTTTGCCCGAAAAAGGTTGGGAAACACTGGCCTAGGTTACCTTGAAGCAAAAGAGGATGGCTGCTAAGCAATTGCCCACATACTCTCTCTAGCTTCTTGTCTCCTGGAGTAATCATTAGGCCAGATGTCTCTAGGGGGAAGGTGCTGCCCCCCCCCAAAATGTGAGAGGGTACACTGGTGGAGGGGGTGAGCCACAAAATCATTCCCTTGCCAAAAATCCTGAGTCTTTATCTTGTGAAATCCACCGAGTTTTTAAAATTCCCTTCTTCCCTCCCCCCACTCACAATTTAAACTAGTTATTTGCAATATTTTGTTTCTTTCATATAGGTTGTTGCTGCATTTCCAAGTGTGTTCACCTGATGCATGCGCTTGTGGTAGTGATGCTTTGCCCTTGTAGTTACTGATTTGTAGCACAACAATTGATGTACCAGTACTTAAACATAGTCCCCTATATTTCAGCAAAGCCATGTCGCGGTAAAATTTCTAATCCCAAGAGTAGCTTGTATAGCACATTTTGTGTACTTTTTTATATTAATTATGAAGATAGGTGTCCTTAAAGCACCCACAAATGAGTTTAAAACATGGATCTGTTGGAATTAAGAATCAGCTGATGTGACAGGTCCATCTGTTGCAATAGGAGCTTTGTACCAGCTTTGTGCTGATACAGAATCCACATGACATAAAAGTTGATTTTTTTAGAATTTCTAACAATTTGTAAGATGAACAAAAGTTATGCTACAGCATAGGGTATTCTGTGTGGCTGAAATGGTGCTCTGGTTAAAAGGTTGGTAACTCTTACATAACCCAATATTTGCCACAATCTTCTGTGCATTTATTAGGGCAGTCATCCAATTAAACAATTTTAGTTGAATAATTGTTTCCTCTTTATCTGATTAAAAACAGATTTAAATTTACAGATATTTACATATATATATATAAAACAGAAGATATGAGCCTGCAGTTTAAACAAAAAGGCAACCACAAATGGTTAGGTGGAAAGGCCCCTAGCATTTTCCGTTTAATTTCCTGTAATAGTAGAAGTAAAATAGTCGTAAAATAATGCCCTTAACTCTCAGTCCCACAGATTAAAAATGACCCCCACTGATTAATCAACTGAAACTTTGGTTTTTTGAACTACCAATTAATGCTTGAAACTTTTTTTGCTGATTCATACAACAATTAAAGTAGCACCAGAATCTTATTTAACCAAATAAAAAGGTTCAGAACTATTAAGGGTCCTTAACTGTCTATTTCATCTTGGGATATATTTTGGGATTAGATGGTCAGCACCCCCTGGATATAAGACAGTACTTGCACATTATCAACAGTTACCATCCCTTTAATGTTTTTGTTTTGACAACCTTTCCCCCCACAAAGATGCAGTTTTTTAAAGGCCACCTCACAAATGGCCACAGGTGACTATCCCTCTAGCAGTACAATCTGAACATGTATATTTTTTTCTAGATAAGAATTTCCCAAGCATAATTTTGTCGGGTAGTTTGTCTTTCTCTCTCAGCCTCAGCAAAGAGGAGAAATTCCTCACAGCCCATAACAGATTGCGTGCTTTCTTATTAATATGTTGATATTTAGCAAAGCAAATATTTCATGTTATTTGTTTAGGTTGCCTGGATTTTTAGCTGTTCATTTGTTGTGAGCAATTACACTCTCAGGACTCTTGAGCTCACATAATTTCCATGCAGAATCTGTGCTTTAAGGAAGATAAAGATCACTTTTTTTTTTTGCAGGAGGAAGGAACTGTGCTTAGCCACTCGGAGTAAATGTGCGCATTTCTAAACAGAATAAAAAATATACCGTATTTTAAGAACAGTAGAAAGAATCTTGAGTTCTGTAAGGAGCTGCCGTGAAGAAGGGGGCTAGGGCTTTTACCAGGATGCATGAGAGAGCAAAAGCAATAACATCAACTTGTGGAACAGCAAGCTGGACATGTCAGGAGATGCTTTGACAAGTTGAGTAATTGGATGGGATGCACTACATCCCTTTCAAATGTTTTATTTGAAAGACTCCAGGGAGAGAGACGCAGGGCCACTTTTGGAAGGATATGACTAGTGAAGGGCAAAGATGCTTGATTCCAACTCCCAAAGGGGCTTGCCACATCTGTACTGCTTCTACATCCTGTTTTTGTCTTTGGATTGGCAACAGGTAGACTAGGCAGTATCTCAGGTAGCCAGATATGGCTCAAAGATTGCCAGTTGCTGACCTCCAGTCTAACAGGATTTCCAGGGATCAGCACACATTATGTGGATCGGGTCCCATGCACACAAACGCCTGTTTAAAAAATGTACCCCACCTATCTGACTGGGTAGCCCCAGCCACTCTGGGCGGGTTCCAGCATATACAAAAACATAATAAAACATAATTAAACATTTAAAACATCCCTATACAAGGCTGCCTTCAGATATCTTTTAAAGGTTGTACATATTTTTATTTTGTGGTGACTGCATATTAACAAATAGCAGCCCTTTGATGACAGACTGTGAGAGACATGGAAAGTCAAGGGGGTGAGTGCTGCAATATCAATATTTTTTCTTGGTCGGAAGGAAACTTCATTTATTTCAAGGGAGTTACTTCCAAGTAAAACGTACAAAGCTAGCCAGTTGTGTTTTCTTCTGTAAAGGCAGGGCATTTGAGGTGTGTGTGTGAATGAAATAACGTAGGAATGAGGAAAGTGCTTAAACAAACATGCCCCAGTGTCTTCCACCATCCACTGTTCAGCTAGCAGCAACGAGCAGTTTCTGGTGTTTTTTTCTCCTGCTCTGGAAGGGCCCTCCTCTCAACATTCCTTTCTCAGATTGCTTAGCAGCAGTGGTCAAGTCTCCTTAGCAATGGTGCTGCTTGCTGAAGCCTGAGAGTTGTCTCCACATTTTGTTTCATAACTTTCATTAGAAATGTTTGATTTACTTTTTTTTTTAAAAAAGCAAAGAGTCTGTGTACCCACCTATTGGCAGCCCTAGTTGGCCTTGTTATTAGTGAACGTAGCAGCTACTTGTACGGCTCCTTGACTAGTGCAGCTATTGTCCTTTTTATTATTTATTAAATGTTTCTCCCACCCTTCATCCCAAAGAAGCACAGGAGAGGACAGCCCACTTGCGAATTAGCATATAAATGTGTTCGCTGACTTGAGCAACACTTTTAAAAAGCAGTCAGTCATCTTTGCTGTATGTGAACCTCAAATCATTCTGTGTTCTTGCATGACCTTTCTGCTTATAAAAGAGAGCTGCCATATGTGTCAGGAGGATCTCGGCTTTGTATCATTTCTCTCTGCCTTAGCATTTAAACTGACTGGAGACAGAGGCTGCTGCCTGACCCAGAGTGTTGCCGCATGTGAGCAGAGCTCTCTTGGGTATAAATACATCATGTTATAAAAGGAAGATGACTGAGAGCAACATGCTCTCTGGCGTGTTGATCTTCTTCCTGGAACTGCTAGCGATGATTCCCTTCTCCTGAGATCATCTCTCTAGAGTGATTCTAAGGACAACATCAGTTCCGAGCCCCCGTTGTGGAAAACCACACTAGAGGAGGTGCAAATGAACCCTATGGGATTCCCTGCTCTCAGGGTGGTGTCCAGGCCTGTTGATTGTACGTCTTATCTGTTTCTTTCTTGGTTTGTAATGCTATGCCTCGTTCCTCAAAAGAAGCCATTCTGTTTGTGTGATCTGTAAAACAGGGAACAGAGAAAAACTTACTTTCCCACATAACTGGAGCACCCTCTGTAAGTTTATACCTGGGTTGAGGATTTATTCTTAAACCAAATGTAGTGTAGATATGTGTATGCAATGTGATATAGATATGGGATTATAATTCACACAGATTGCAGTTTACCTGTGTCTTGAGGCTGGAGGTTGTCCTTGCCTCCCAGTTACAATTACACTGATTATCTGAGAACAGCCCTTTCTATCAGCTGCAAAACAATTGCTTCACACTCCACATGGCAAGTAATTTCCTACTTCTGCAGCATCAAATCCTTTCTCCCTCCTGGCCTTGAGCAGAAGCAGCAAGGTGACAATAAGATGGGGAAGTCTGTTCCACCAAGCAGCAGGACAGTCTCCCACAAAATG